GGGAGGCCGAGGTGGGTGGATCGCCTGAGGTCAGGAGTTTTAACATGGCAAAACCCCATCTCTACTAAAAATAACAAAAATTAGCCAGGCGTGGTGGCAGGCACCTGTAATCCCAGTGACTCGGAAAGCTGAGGCAGGAGAATCACTTCAACCCAGGAGTCGGAAGTTGCAGTGAGCCGAGATCGTGCCACTGCTCCCCAGCCTGGGCAACAAGAGCGACACTGTCTCAAAAAAAAAAAGAAAAGAAAAAAAATGTTTGAGACTGGTGTGGTAGCTCATGCCTATCATCTCAACATTTTGGGAGGCCAAGCAGGGAGGATCGCTTGAGCCCAGGAGTTCCAGACCAGCCTGGACCACATAGTGAGACCCACCCTGCCCCCTCTCTACAAAAAATAAAAATAACAAAATAAAAATTAAAAAGTTAAAAATCAGCCTGGTGTGATGGTGCAGCCTCCCAGCTACTTGGGAGGCTGAGGTGGGAGGATCACTTGAGCTCAGGAGGTCAAGGCTGCAGTGAGCCATGACCATGCCACTGCACTCCAACCTGGGCTACAGAGCGAGACCCCATCTCAAAAATAAAACCTTGAAATAAACTATAGATTATCAGAGAATAAGACAGGAAATACTCCAGTGTATTACCCAGGGGGGTGAGTGGACCCTGGATAGGGGATGGAAAGCTCGACCAGCTCAGTATAGTGGACTGTGCGGGGCTGCAGAGGTGCCAGCTTATCCACATGTAGAGTCACTCCTTCTCGGTGGTTGAGGATCTGGCTGAGAGACAAAAGGCAGGCAGTAATGTCTACTCTCTGGATTCCAGAGGGTCTTTGATGCCACTTCCCAATTTGTCAGATCATGTAGCTATGAGGAACCAAGACTATACTCAGATGACACTTGCCATCTGAGATTTAGGCTGAGATTTAAAACCCTGAAAGATTAAACAAATTGTATAATACATATACAAAATATGTGTGTGTATATATATATAAGTATATATGAGTATTGTAATTGATATACATATATATGTGTATCTATATCTATATCTCTATCTATCTATCTATCTATCTATCTATGAGCCTGGCTAGGTGCCGTGGCTCACTCCTGTAATCCTAGCACTTTGGGAGGCCAAGGCAGGTGGATCACTTGAGGTCAGGAGTTCGAGACCAGCCTGGCCAACATGGCGAAACCCAATCTCTACAAACAGTACAAAAATTAGGTGGGCATGGTGGCACACACCAGTAATCCCAGCTACTCAGGAAGCTGAGACACAAGAATCACTTGAACCTGGGAGGCAGAGGTTGCATTGAGCCGAGATCACACCACTGTACTCCAGCCTACTGGGTGACAGAGTGAGAGTCTGTCTCAAAAAAAAAAAAAAAAAAAAGCTGACCGGGCGCGTTGACTCATGCTTGTAATCCCAGCACTTTTGGAGACCAATGCAGGTGGATCACCTGAGCTCAGAAGTTCGAGACCACCCAGGAAAACATGGTGAAACCTTGTCTCTACTAAAAATACAAAAAAATTAACCGGTATGGTGGTGTGTGCCTCTAGTTCCAGCTACTTGGGAGGCTGAGGCAGGAGAACCACTTGAACCCCAGAGGCGAAGGTTGCAGTGAGCCAAGATTGCACCACTGCACTCCAGTTTGGGCTACAGAGTGAGACTCCATCTCAAAAAAAAAAGCTTATATTATTATATTAAAGCTTATATATATATAAGAAAGTATAGAGATATCATATGAAATATACAGTTATATATCTACATATGTAAATATAAAGATACATGAATTACAACTATTAATAATAGTTAATATTTTTTTAAGCACTGCTGTGAGCCTTGCCCTGTCTTATCTCATCCTGTCCTCCCAGCACCTCATCCAGGGAGAGACACTGTTGTTAGCCCCGAGTTACAGAAGAGAGGCAAGCACAACAAAACAAAGTGACTTGCCCAAGGTTAGCAAGTGACCAGCCAGGATTTGGACCAGGGTAGTTGGCCCCAGAGCTTGTGTTCTTAGCCACTAGGCTGCCCTGCCTCTTTGCATGAAGCACCTACTCATGGATGTGGGGCTGATTCCAGAGTTGGGTGGGATTATAGTATCTCAAAACAGAGGTGGCAGAGTCAAATTCTCAAGGGCTTTTGGATTTCCACTCTTGTGACATTATTCTTCCCTTTTGCCAGCTACAGTACCCATGTATATTAATACTGTATGCTATTGTGTTATATATTGTCATACTTAAAGGAATTGATCATACTTTTTTTCCTTTCTAATCACTGCTGTGACTCTGCATGCAAAAAGCCTGCCTTGTGGTATGGTAATAGAAATCAAAATTGTGGCCAGATGTGGTGGGTCACACCTGTAATCCTAGCACTTTAGGAGGCCGAGGCAGGAGGATTGCTTGATCCCAGGAGTTCAAGACCAGCCTGGGCAACATAGTAAGACACCATTTTCTATTTAAAAAAAAAAAAAGAAATTAAATTACGTTGGCCATATAGGGAGATGGTACATTAAGCCTTGGGATTTTGATTTGAGGCAAATGCTGACACCATGCTTAGAGACAGTTTTAAACTACGTGGACAATGCTGGCAAGTACTAGAGAAGGAATGCTACTAATCTCGGGGTCAGAGTGGATCACAAATTGGACACACTAAGGATGTATGTCTTCACTTTGTAAAGCTAAAGGGTGATGAGCTCTTTTAATCCAGAATATGATGTATATGAACTGGAGAACAGATACTTTGCCAGTATTTGCTGAGCCGTGTTCCTGGTACCCTCGCTGCATGGGTTGCAGGAGATGAAGCTGGCATTTGCTGAGCAGAAGGACATGGCCATGGGAAGAATATGTATTCATGGAGTGCAGCAGGTGTCTGGATTCTTTTTATAACTTGTGCTTGGTGTTTATAAGAAAGCTTGTTCTGTTTGAATGGAGCCTCATAATGCCTGAGATAGTGTGTGAGATGAGCCTCATCAGCCAGGGGTATATTAGGAAAGAAAGAGGGTGCTATTTGCTTACTTTCCCCTCCCTTGTTGCCTCCTGTTCTACCTCTGCCACCTCCTGGGGTAACTACAGCCATGTGATAAGCTCTTGGAGTTCCAACAGCCCTACGTCAGCACCACACAGTGGGGCCTTAACTAGGGGCCACCTGGTCCTGCCAGCTCCTCAACCAGGCTTAGCACAGGGCCTGGTGCTACAGAAGCCTCAGTGGAGGGCTCTGGGTAGGAGGGAGGAGCAGGGGTCCAACCTGCCATTCTGCAGATGAGGACCTTGAGACACAGAAACTGAGTGTGTTCTTCAAGCCCCACAGCTGTCAAGTGCTGAGCCAGGACTGGAGCCTGTCTGGGGCTTGTCTTCCAGTGCTCTTCTCACCATGTGGCTCTGGCTTCAGGCCCCAGCAGCCCTCCTGAGTCCTGCTGCCGCGTGGCCCAGGAGACAGATCTTAGCATCTATAGCCTTGGGTCCACCCGGCCAGCTGAGGCTGAGCTGTAGACAGCTGTGGGGTTTCCCCAACTATGGCCTTCCATGAACCCTGGTTTCTCGGGCCTATTGGTGCCAAAGGCAGAAACCCAGCTCCCCAGACATCTTCATCCTTCCAGTGGCCAACACAGCAATCTGGAAGCAGCCCACTGCCCAGGCTGGCAGCTTGAGCTCGCCCACGAGGTGGCTGGAGGGCTGCTGTGGTCAGCTGAGTCGGGCATGGTGGGCAGACAGCCTCTCCTGCCATCTCCCTGCAGGCCATCGTGCAGCTTCCTCGGCTTCTCTGTGCCTTGGTGGTGTTTTCTCCCCTGTGCTCTTCCAGTTTGCACATAGCTCACCCTGGCTAATAGCCTCTGTCTCATGATCTCAGTTCCTAACTCCAGGGAGAGAGAATCCACTGCCCCTCTTCTAGCTGTGGCCAGTGGTCAGGTGCCAAGATACCCAGAGCTGCCCATCTCCTGCTAGGGGGATGGGCCTGAGCAGGGATGGGGGCCAGGCAGGGGCAGCGCTGGCTTTGGGGCCAGGAGCCAACTTGGGTTTGAATCTCATTCCCTGGTCTCATGACTCTGTGAGCCTCTGGCCAGAAGAGATGCCCATGGCTGGGGGCTTTGATGTCTGGGTGGCCCTGAAGGGTTTGCATATGGCATTCAGTCCCTTGCTGTGGGTCAGCACCAGTCTTAGTGACAGAGGAAGCATCCCTGCCCTCTGGAAACTGGCGTTTTCAGTGACATGAACGTGGGCACACTACTGTACCAGGCATGCCATTTCCTGGGTGGGATGGGAGGAAGGGGGCCTTTTTTGAAGGCATGTGTGCCATGAGTGGGCATGACCAAGGCCCTGGCTTTCCCCTACCCCCTAAACCGGCCTGACTCCTGTGGGGACCCAGAGTGTCCCCAGGCCCGCCTTGTGTGTGCCCCTCTCTTTGTGTCCCATGTCATGTGTGATGATGTGTGCACATGTGACCCATACCGGTTGGTCCATTTCCAACTGGAACAGTCCCTCCTGCTCCCAGGACAAAAACAGCCCCAGGCCTTTTTCCCCTGAAAGTTTGAGCTCCTTGTCTCAGAGCGGGAGCGAGCTCATGGACGGGGCCATAGTGGCTGCCTGCCTGCTCCATGGGGCTGGTGACATCCAGCAAGACATGTGTTCCTGAGGCCCAGCCCCAGACCCCTGCCTGCCCCCGCCCTGGCTTCCCTCTCTGCCGAGCAGGACAGGCACAGACACAGGCCCCTACAGAGTCCATGGGAGGAAAGGAGCTGGCCCAGACTGGCCTGGTCTTGGGTTCATGCTCTCAGCAGAACAAGCTCTGGGGAGCTGGGATCTCTGGGGCAAGGGAAGCTTCTCCCTGTGAGATACCTCACTTCCTAACTCCAGGGAGAGACAATCCACTGCCCCTCTTCGAGCTGTGACCAGTGGTCAGGCGCTGTGACCTTGAGCACAAGCTTCTGTTTCGGGAACAGCTCCAGGGAGTCACTCACCGGTAGAGGAAACTCCAACCCCACCCCCATGACCTCTGTTTCTCCTCTTTGCAGCTGGAGGAAGCAGAGCGCTTTGCCATGATGGTGATCAGCCTCGGAGAGGAAGCCGGGGAGTTCCTCCCCAAGGGCTACCTGGCGCTGGGTCTCACCTATAGCCTGCAGGCCACCGACGGTGAGTGCCAGGCCCCAGGAGGCTTCTGCTTGGGGATGGCTCAGGCTTCCTAACTGCCTCGGAGGTATCTTGTCCTACCAGCGCCCATCCCCTCAGGCCATGCCTCCATAGGCACCCTGCACTCCTCTGGGACAGATGCCCATGTGTGTACACACACACACACGCATACACACACTCACGCCCCTCCGACCCATTTCCACTGTTTCGCCCGGACTGTCGCCACCCTCAAACATGCCTTCCTCTCCCCTCTTCATGGACCCAGTTCCTCCCACCCCTCAAGGCCCAGCCCCAGCTCCAGCAAAGCCCATACTGATCTTCTCTGTGGAACTCCTGCTTCCCGTCTGTAATGCGCCATCAGCCTTCCCACCACACAATGTCTCCATTCTGGTTCTCATAAGCCTGCCCTTACCTTCAGCACTGCTATGACCTTCTGGAGCCTTTTAAATCCTCCTCAATACGTGGCATAGGGCTGGGTACACAGCAGGTGCTTAATAACTACTTGTGCTCGGCTAATGGATTCTGCTCCTTCCTGCCCCACACCTGGCCTTCTCTCGCCAACCCTGCCAGCTCAGCCATGTGTCTCACCCCGTCTATCAGGCAGCCACCTACTTTCATCTCCTGGTAGCTTGCTTGAGGGATGGGGAGTGACGGGCCCCCACCCAGACCAAACCTGGAATAGTCATCAGCCCATGCCCACCTCCCCCAAACGCCAGTCGCTGGGAGCGGCAGTCATGGTGACATCAGGTATAAATGAGCCCTACATAAGGAACACCTGGGTCTGCACATGCTGGTCAAGTGAGGGAGTCATCAGCCCCTTTGTCAAAGTCTACTTTGAGCAAGAACCCTCCTTGTGCCTTTAACTCTACAAATAGTGGTTGTTGTCTAAGCTTTCGAATCTGGGGAGCTCTGACAACTGTCAATGCTTGGTCCTCGCCAGTGGGATTCTGATCAGGTTTGGGAGGGGCCTGGATACAGTCATGTTAAAGCTTCCTAGGTAGTGAGTTAAGTATGCAGCCAAGGCTAAGAACACCTGCCCTGCTGCATTTAAAATAGGATGCAGTTTACCAGAAAGGTGCCTGGTTTGGGTTCAAGCTTCCTAGTGGGTCAGGAAGCCTAGAAAGGTATGTGGCCAGGCAGAAGTGGTAGCCTCTCTCTCAAGATTTGGGCCTCCTGAGTGGGATGCCCATGTCGTGGAATGCTTGTAGGCATCGGCCTTTGAAAGGGTTAAGGTGGTTCAGGTGGTGGAGAATGCAATGCAGTAGAAGCAACTGGCATGCCAAGGAATGTGCTAGAGGCCAGGGCATTGGCCCAGGCTGCCAGAGTTTGAGGTTTGCCAGATGGGGCCCTGGTGGGGCCTTTATCTGCAGAGCTGTGTGCTTTGAGGATGGTGCAGGGCTGGGCCGGCACCCTTCAGTGACCCCTGTTGGCTCAGTCTCTGTCCTGTCCCCTGCAGCCACCCTGAAGTCCAAGCAAGATGAATTGCACCGGAAGGCACTGCAGACACTGGAGAGGTGAGTAGGCTCCCACCTGCAGCAGAGACCCCTCTTGCCTTTGGTGGCACATTCACAAGCTTTACCTCATTGGACGCTCTGATCTGGGCAGAACAAACATTTCTATCTACATTTTACAGATGAGGAAACTGCACACAGCAAGCAGGGATATTTGTTTGGGGTTGGGCAGGCAGCCAAGCCCTGCCCTCAGCTCTGGGGGGGCTCCAGCAGCCACCAGGCTCAGTTCCTGCTCTCCCAGGGCTCAGGGGTCTAAAATGGGAATAGTAACCCATTGCTGTTGTATTAATTACAGGAGATAAAGCAGGAAAAGCACCTTGCACAGTATCCTATATGTAACAGGGGCTCAAAAATGGCATTCGCCTCCCTCTAGCTCCTCCCCAGTCACCCCTCCCACCACCCCGAGCCCTTACAGGGATTTCCTGGCAGATGCTCAGAGCAGCGGGGCCAGCTTCTCTGCCCTGGTGCCTGACTTGTCACTCCCTCTCTGCCCATGGGATGTCTATTCATCCCATCGTCTTTCTCCTTTGGGGTCTGTCACCCCAGATGGCCCCTACCTCAGCGAGTGCCAGCCCCCTCAGGCACACCGTCCCTGCCTTGGGCTGCCTGTGGGCTGTCTGCTTTGGTCTTCATCTGCTAGCTGGACACCCGTCTGAGACAGAGCCTGGCAGAATCCCCCACTATTGCCTCATAGTGCCCAGCACAGGGCTCGCATGCTGGAGGCCTGAGTCACACGTTGGTCACTCAACCCCTGGTGCCTGACTTGTCACTCCCTCTCCCCATACAGGGCTCAGCAGCTGGCGCCCGGTGACCCCCAGGTCATCCTCTATGTCTCACTGCAGCTGGCCCTCGTCCGACAGGTAGGTTGTCCGTGTTCCTAACCCCCGGGTCCCCAGGGACTGCTGATCTTCTCCTGGAAACCCAGCTTACCATCTGTGTGACCCTCTGCAAGTGACTTCACCTCCCTGAGCTTGTTTCCTTATCTGTCATGTAAGCCCTTTGAGCCCTCATCAGAAGGGTCCCAGTGAGGATGAGGTCAGGTAATGTGGGTAAAGCCGTGGCAGATACACAGGAAGGGCATGTTCTCCGCCTTCACTCCCCCTACGACATTTCAGTGGCCTGAGATGCTGATGAGTGACCACGTGTCACTCATTTGTTTGTATCCTCGCCTTCCACTGCCTTTTCCCCAAGGGTCTTGGGGATAAAGTGGTGGGCTCATGGAGCTGTTGCAGGATGGGCTTTCTCTATGACCCCCAAGCTACTCCTTCACTGTGTGGACACCACCATCAGGCCTTGGCCTCTGGGGCCCCATAGGGGCCTCCTGTCTGCTCACTGCCTTAGCCCCAGGACCACCCCCACTGTGACTCTGCAGGCAGACCCGCCTTTTCCCCAAGGGTGCTGAGAGAATGTTGGTGTGTCCAGGGCTCCCTACCTCAGGTCCTTCAGAGCCTCCTTTACTTTCCCATGGCATCTCAGCCTGCAGGCCGGTACTCTGGGCGCACACACACAGCCTCTAAAGCAGGACCTCTCAGGTGACTTGACCCTGATGCCTACTGATGCCCCCCACCTGAGTGCCCGGGGATTACAGACAAGCCTTTGGCTCCCACAGTGCGGTCTTCTCGCCTGCGTCACCCAGGAAGTGGGCTGAGCTCCAGGCTGGTGGAGGGAAGCCCACAGAAGCCCATGTACTTGCTGTCAGGTGGAGGGCAGCCCTGCCTGTTGGGGGTGCTGCTGTGTCCCCCATACCAGCCTGGGGAAGCCCTACCTTCTGAGGAGGCAGGCCACAGCAGTCCCATTTTTTACCTGAGGACACCACTGAGGCCAAGCCAGCATAGAACCCAGGCCTCTGATCCACAGCCCACGGGGTCTAGGTACCCGGCTCCCCTGACCCTTTTGGAGATGGAGCCCTGGGAGCGTGCTCACCGGCTGGGGCTTAGTCTTATGGTCAGCTTGGTGAGCTGTATTTCTCCTGCCTCTGGGGCAAGCCAGGCTGTGCCCTGCGTCAGCCTGACTCCTCCTCTCATCACAGTTACTCTCAGTGCTGGGACCCCCACCCTGTCACCCTATGCTTAGACCCTTATTCCGGCACCTGTGTCTGTCCTGACCTGAATTGTCACTGTTTCTGAGGCATTCTGTCTCCCTCTCCAGGTCCTTCTGTCTCAATCATTTTCTCCCCAACAGCCCTGATGCCATTCCGGCTGTTGTTTCCGCTGTCGTTGGCAGCTTCGCTCCCTTCCTCTTGCACCACTCCTCCCCCGTGACTCCCTCCATCCTCCTCCACCTCTAGGCTGCGCCCCCACCCTGTCCCCACTCCTCATTCCTGACCCCAGGTCCTGGACAGGCACAGGGCACCTCTGTGCCCCTCCGGGAGCATCGCTCCACTCCCAGGAACACCAACAGAAAGACACCTGACACCACTTTATTTTTAGTTCTCTGTAAAAGAACCAGTGCTTTTGTTGCTAACCAAGGGAATGATAAACCTTTGGTGATGCATTTTTTGACCTGTTCAATTACTCACCCCCCTCTAATGAATAGCATCCATCCTTTTAGAGAGATGGCGGGCCAGGCCAGTGGAGCCTAGCGCCCAGTTTCCTTGGAGACCTCATTTTGGCAGCCTCAGAGAGTTGAGAACTCAAGAACTCCCTGAATGGACAGTCCTAGCCTGCCTGGGTCTCTGAGGCCCCCAGCCGGCCTATCCTGCCCAAAGCACGTCTGGCTGGCCGGCACAGTGATGGCTATGGATTTGGATACGTAGCCCAGGATAATCGGGTCTGCCCTGGCAGAGTCAGCAGCACAGGAGCAGCCTTAGGGCCACCAACAAGCCGAGCCAGTGGCCCCAGTGATCTTAGCGTCCTCCTCATATGCTCCATGACCTATCCACAAAGTAAGGTGCCCAAAGGAGAACTCTGGGCCTGGCACTGGTGCCCACAGCCTGCACAGAGGCCAGGCTGGAGACCAACACAAAAGCCAGGCAGACTGGGGACCCAAGGCACCAACCAGAAGGGTGGAAGGCTGGGTTTGAGGTTTGGCAAGAAGCAGGACTCTTAAAAAGAGACTCATGAGATTCCTGCAGGGATGGAGCCCTGACATGGAGAGAGTCACAGGAGCTAACGCAGCTCCCAGGCCTGAGAGCACGGAGGAACAAGTGCCTTCAGGCTGGAAGGAAGGGTCTTTCCTCTTCCTTAGTTTTCTGACTTTGGGGCTTGAAGAGGGAAACTCACACTTCAAAAGTGTTTGTTCCGCCAGTACTTTGCAAGGCATTTTTTATAGTGTCTCATCTTCATGGACACTGAAATAGGTTTAACCATTATCCTCATTTTGTAGCAGAGAAACTGCAGCTTAGAGAGGTGAGTCCTCTTGCCCTAAGATGCCAGCTGGGAAGTGGCAGAGCTGGGAGCTACACCCCAACCTGACCCCAGAGCCTCAGAGCAGGAGGGGGTGTTTATCTGTCAGCCACACATCAGGTTCTTTCCACATCACCGCGTGAACATGTTCAGAGGGGAGGGCCTCATCAGCCCTGGGTATGTAGCTGGCAGATTCTCTATCCCAGGGCCAGGCCTTCCTGGCCCTCCACCTTCCAGCCTGCTGCAAGTTTCTCTCCCAAACCTCTCTCTCCAGACCTGGTCACAGCCTTTCTAAAGGGTGCAGAGCCTCAAGCTAAGGGCGCTGCTCAGTGAAACAGCAGTATGTGGGGGAGAGGATTCCCTGCATTCTGGGGAGTCAGGCCAGGTTGAAAGTACTAGGAATCAGAGATGAGGAGGAGATGGCCAGCTGGGCCCTGCCATGCCCCTGGACCCGCAGCACAAGGAGGGCTGGCCTTGACCTGGGACAGCTTTGAGGCCAGGCCCGTCACTCACCGAACACAGGCTTAGCAGCCTGCATAGCTCACACAAGAACACTTGGCCTGGAGTCAGGACCCCCATCTGAGAGTGCCTGCTCTGCTGCTAACTCGCTGAGCTGCTAACTTGCTCTGCTGTGTGAAAAGAATGGAAGGGATAGACGACAGCATTTTTGCACGTACATTAGCTCTTTGTACCCTTCTGTGGAAAAGCATATGCCTAATTTGCAGATAAGGGAACTGAATTCAGAGAGAACCAGGGACAAAGGCGAGTGAGTGGCAGCGCCAACTCTAGAACCCAGCTCTTGTGTATTCACAAATACAGGACCCCTCCACTGGCCAAAATGAGCAGGATCAATCAGCTCAGATGACAGGCAGCAGGTGGGGGCTGCCCCAGGCAGGGCATGGCACAGGGGTGCCCAGCAGGGTGCAGGGGCCAGGGACTGTGGGGTGTTTTGTAGAGAACGAGATGACATAAGGGGGACAGTGGGCCACCTCAGAGGTCAAATGGGACTGTGTAAGGGGCTGCTGCAGTCACCAGGACTGGCCAACCTCTTTTGAAGAAGAGAATTTATGTTGGTAACTGCCAGAATTCTTTTTTCTCCTTAATGCTTGTGGAAACATTCCCCAGACCCTGTCAGGGATGCACAGGCCAGGGCCCATGGGGCGGGGAGCTTTTTCTCTGAGGGTCGTAACCTCCACAGCTGAATGTAGATGGGTCTGGGGAGGTAGAATAAGAGGCAAGGAGAGGGGCCTCAGGTGTCTCTTGCATCCAGGGGACTCTTAGGGCCCATCCTGGGGATGTTGTGTTATGCTGAGAATGGTCTCTTCAGGAAAGGGCTCCTTGAACCTTCCACATCCTCCCATAAGTCCAGCTATGGGCAGAGACCCATCCTGGCAAGGTGGCAGGCAGCCAAGCAGGTGTGTGGTCTCAGCCCTGAAATAGTCCCCATAGGATGTACTGGGGCACCGACTGACCCCGTAACCCTGTTACCACTTGCAGGTGGGGCCCTGGCCACAGCTGCAAATCATCCATGCCCTCTGCAGCCAGATCCAGTAGAACATTGGAGTCCTGCCTGCAGGGTTGGCGGGAGCAGTAGAAGGTGCCCTTCCATGCTGCACCAGCCCCTCCTGGGCTCACTGACTGGGCTACTGGAGCAGCTGGGGCCTGCCCTCTTTCATGCAGTGCTTAGAGAAGGGAGGCAGCAAACTCAAGCCAGTGAAAGTTGGGACCTGTGGTGACCCCTGGTCTCCCCACCACATGAAGGAAAGGCTTTCCTGAGGCCACATCGAAATCCAGACCCTTCGAGTATGGCTCTCCTGACCCTGCATAATCTGGCCTCATCCCACCTGTCCAGAACTGGGCTTAATAAATATTTGTTGAATTGAAAATAAAACACAAGACTAGAATCTGGATTCTAGTCCCAGATTCCCACTGTGCCCATGTTAGAGGCCAGTCTCCCTGTCTTCTAGGCACTTGCCTCTGCATACTTCCCTTCCTGTGGTCAAGCTGCACCCCCTACCTGGAGCACCCCGTTTGCATCATCTCCTCCTGGAAAGCAGGGTCTCCTGACACATCAGTAGAACTCCAGGGTGACGTTTCCACACGTGGCTGCCTTGCCCTGTGGCTCCCACTCCTCCCATTTAGGAAGTACTTCCTGGTGGCTACCCTGGTCCTTTGTGCCACACCACAAACCTGCTCCTCTTTATTCCTGAGTGTGACAGCAGACCCCTCCTCGCCAGGCCATCTGGGGCAGGTGTTTTCTCACAGCAGCATCCCTGCCCCCAGTGCCTGGGGCCCCCTTGAGTTGAGTGTGGGTGCCTTTGTTGACTGGCACCTGGCTTCTGAGTCCCAGGGCAGCATGTGCCTGGGGAAGGGCACTAAGCTGGTGGGTTCCTTCGACAGATCTCCAGCGCCATGGAGCAGCTGCAGGAGGCCCTGAAGGTATGCAAGGATGATGCCCACGCCCTCCATCTGCTGGCACTGCTCTTCTCCGCCCAGAAGCACCACCAGCATGCCCTGGATGTTGTCAACATGGCCATCACCGAGCATCCTGAGAACTTCAAGTAAGTGCCCTGAGAACACTCTGGCAGTGGGGGAGCTGGCTGGCCTCTGTAGCAGGTGCCCATGCACACCTGCCCTGCCATGGTGCCAGCCAATACACATGGGGTAAGCACCTGCTGCATGCACAATCCCTGGTGGAGAGACTGGGGGGTGAGGACAGATGGGGTCAGCAGATAGCTGTGGCGCTCTGCACCAGGAGGTGCCTGGTGGGGAATAGGGTGTACGTGCTGCTCCTTAGCCCCCATGAGGTGGGGTCTGCATGGGCCACAAGGGAGACTGCTTGAATGCACATGTTTGGGCTGCTTCTGCCTGCCCTGGGCTCTGCATGAGCCTCAGAATGAAACTAACTTGTGTAAGTTAATCATAGCCCTAACACAGCCAGCCAAGGATGGGATTCTAACACCAGCTAGGCTGGCAGCTGGAGACAGGGGTTACGGCCCTCCAAGGTGATCCTGCTCCTTCATATCTCCCCACCTCCCTCATTTACTGCATCAGCCAGATGCCCCACTTCTTGGAGCAAGGTTTAAGTTGCACTTGGCCTAAGTGGTGGTGGGACACAGAGGACCTGCTGCCACCCAGCCAGGACACTGGGAACAAGGCCGTGCTGGGCCAACTGAGGCGGGAGGATGTGTTGCTCTGTCGGGGGAGCAAGGGGGAGTCATCTTTTGATTTCTGCCTTCTGCCCCTAAGGGCAGGTGACACTGAGTGTAACAGGCTTTGTTTCTCAGAGTCCTTTGATCCCAGATAAGGGACCTCTGAGTAACCCACTTCCCGCTGTTCCACCTTAGGGCCTGAAGGAAGGTGATTTAGAACCAGCCCAAGGCTGTCCCCTGCAGACAGCAAGGAAGAAGCTAGAGTCCTGGCTGCCCTGATAGGTGACTCATGCTGTGTAAATAGGTTCACAAAGGATTAGGAAAAAATTGCTGGGTGATGAAGGGAAGCTTCAGTGGTCCCAGCCTAGGGAGGTTCCCGTCACTGGGCTTTCACCTCTGTCCATCCCCAGCCCATCAGAGGCAGGGCTGACCACAGGGGTGGGTTCAGGTTTTCCTGCACCCTTGGCCTCCTTCAGATGACAGCAGATAGTTCTGCTTGTGGCCTTTGCCAGCATGCCGAGCACTGCTGTTGGTGGCTTCCTCCTCCCCAAAGCTAAAGAAAGGTGGTTTGGGAGTGGCAGTGTTTCCTAAATATAAACCCCATAATGTGCCTCCCTGAAGAGGGGAGCCCCAGTGACCAAGGCCAAGGACAGGTGTTTATCCTGCTGGTCAGCCTAGTCTGCAGCCCCAAGACCCCTGAGCCTTGTCCTGCTTGCCCTGCTTCCCCTAGTCCACACTGACCCCTGCCCCGCCCATTCCCCCTCCATCCTGGCCTAGGCAGGTCCCCGCTGCTCACAGCCAGGTGTCAACAGAATGGCCAACTCGACACAGCCTGTCTTTTGTGTTCGTGGCTGGCCCTGATTCTGAGCCTTGCCCCAGCAGCATTCAAGAGACTACTAAAGGCCAGGCACAGTGGCTCACGCCTGTAATCCCAGCACTTCGGGAGGCCGAAGCAGGTGGATCACCTGAGGTCAGGAGTTCAAGACCAACCTGGCCAACATGGTGAAACCCTATCTCTAATAAAAATACAAAAATTAGCTGGGCGTGATGGCAGGTGCCTGTAATCCCACCTACTCAGGAGGCTGAGGCAGTAGAATCACTTGAACCCGGGAAGCGGAGGTTGCAGTGAGCTGAGATCGTACCACTGCACTCTAGCCTGGGCCACAGAGCGAGACTCCGTCTCAAAAAAAAAAAAAAAGAGACTACTAAAATTCCAGTCACTTCACCCCCAAAGGCCGGTAGCTTAGGAAATCCTAACACAGAGAAAACTGTGTGTGGACAAGGGATTAGTTACCCTGTCTCATTAATCACAAGTACAATACAGTAATATGAGGTAAGAACATTTTATTTTTAATGAGAATGCACAAAAGATGTAAGTTCCCCACTCCTAGTGCCAGTGCCTTACTTTGATCCCAGCTCCATCCTTGCACCTCTCTGGCAGGGTCTGACCCACTGCCGCTGGCCTGCATGCCTGTGTGTGTTTCCGCTTCAGTTAGGCTTCATCGGAAACTGAAATGGCCAAGCAGAAAGACTTAGAATCCTAGGCTGGGGAAAGGAAAGGGCTCCTCGTCCACCCTGGGTCTGTGGAGCACAGGAGAAGCAAGAGGCCTGGCTCAGCTCAGCATCAGAATTTCCTAATGAAATCTTACTTGGAAACTGAGACTGTGATGCAGGTGGGAGCACCGCTGCTCTGATGGAGCCAAAGAAGGTGATTCACACCTGCCCAGTTCCAGCTGAGGGGGCCCCTCCATCCCAGCACCTGGCATCTCACCACTCAGCATCTCTTGCTGACTTCTGAACTGATTGCTTTCTACCAGGCTAAAGCAGCTCCCCTGGCCTGCTGTGGGGAGGCTAACTCCCTTTTTTGGAAATCTGGCTGCAGCCCAGGCTGTGTGAGGTATGGCAGAAAATGGGGTCTGCCCAGTGTGGGGGACCCACCCTTGTCTCCCCATCAGCTTCCTTGACCGTCACCCCAAGAGTGCCTCCTGCCTTCATCTTCCCAGGCTCTTGGACTGGGCTAGGAAGCTGTCCATTGCCCTGTGGGCAGTATGTGTGCCCCGGCTGCTGCCCTGCCTTGACACACGCACTTTCCACCCTTCCCTTCCTCCCACGCTCACTCAGGTGCTGACTCCTTCCCCAGGAAGTGTGCCACTCACTGACAGTGTCCTTGGTCAGGGGTTGCCTTGAGGTTGGTGACTGCCCCCAGGTGGCCCAAGGGTGGACATCTGGGTCTCCAAGAACCCCTGGACCTGAACTATGACATTTTGTGCATGCGAGTCTGAGTCCGTGGAAATGGCTTTCAGCAGATTCTCAAAGGGGGCCCGACCTCAAAAAAGGTTGAGGAGCACTGGTGCAGACTGCTGTTTGTCAACGTGCAGGGTAACTGTACCCCTGTCTCTCGTGCTTCCCCAAGGCTTGCAGAGAGCTTCCTGGAGAGCAGTGTTTGCAGGCAGGAACCTCTGCCTTGGGAACAGCTCACCCATGCAGACATCACAGAGCAACTGCAAGGGCTTCAGGAGCTGTGGAGGGTGGGGCCTAGGAGCCACAGGAGGGAGTCAGCTCTGAGGTCAGAGGAAAGTTTCATGCCCTGAGGGATTCTGAAGGTTCTTCTGCAACCTGTGCTCTACTGTCACTCACAGTAGAGTACTGTGCTGTGGAGCATTTGGGGATCTGCAGGCCCCGCCCCCAGTAGTGCCTCACTTTCCTCAATCTGCTTGTGCAGGGCTGTGGGGCTGGGGGGAAGCAGCAATAGGTTCTTCGTCTTGAGCCACCATGAGCTCCTCACCTCCAGGATCCCGAGGAGCTCTGTTTTGATCCAGCTGGCCCTAAAAGGCTGCAAAACTAATTGGGGGAAAAAAAATTACAGGGACTTTTGGCCTCCAGAATTGTAAGAAAATAAATCTCTGTTGTTTTAAGAAAAAAAAAATTGTGTCTCTATATACCATTTATAGAGACATAATACTATCTGTACGGCTGGGGTAGGGCCGAGAAATCCACCCACCGCCAAACTATGGTGAGTGACCACAGGGTATGACCATTGTCTCTTTGTAAGTAAATCAATACTGTTCGCCACAGATGAAACCTCAGAGCATAGAAACTCATGGATTAGCAGGAAATGTCACTGAGTCCATTACAGGTCAGGGATCACTGAAAAATGTCATTGCTCTTCGATTGACACTGCACCCTGCTTCCTCAGCTGCTCTCTGCATTTGAGGAGAAGCCGTTTGTGGTTCCAGCTGTTGCCAAGGCAGTTAATTAAACAGCCGGTCTGGTAAATATCACTGCGGCAAAACAACAAAAACCAAGCTCCCTTTGTCCTGACCTCATCGTCCCCAGCAAGGTCTGTATCCACAGGACGCTTAAAGGCACCTTATAGAGGGCTGTCCCAGTGCCTGAAGCCTATTAGAGGCGTCTCCTTTCAGCCGTCAGTGTTAGAGGCCATCCGTGCATGGGATCCCAGAACCTGCTTCAGGAATGGCAGAAGCTGGCTCGTGCTGGGCATGGGCTTTGCCTGTTTCACCACTTTCAGAGAGGCCTGCCACAGGGGAGGAAACTGGTGGGGGAATGGACCCCTGTCCATGTGAGCTGGTCCTTGTGTGAGAGCCACAGTGAGGTCCCAGCCCTTGAGTCATGTCTGTCACTGGCCTGTGCCACCTGCAGCAACTCACTCCTCTTCCCCTTGCCTCTGTTTGCTCATCTGCCAAAAGACGGACACCTACTCTGTCTTCCTTGGCTTGTGAGGTTTATTGTGAGACTCAGGAGAGGGCACACAGTCGATGGACAGCCGTGTTTGAAAGGTGGCAGTATGGAGGGGAGAGGAGGCTGCCCACCAACAGCATCAGGCTGTATCCTGGGTCCCAAGGGTGGCAGTGCCTGGGGAAGGCCAGATAGGCCAGGAGGTGCAGGCAGCCGAGGCTGGGCCCTGACAGAGGCTGGGAAGGAAGCTCTGGGGAAAAGTTAGTGAGCTCCTTGACTGCACAAGAAGTCACCACTCCCATATAGGCAGACTCTAGGCTCCCAGAGAAAACCCAGCTTTTGTGGAGTCGAACTTTTGAAAAGCTTTCTGACTTCAGGTTAGAAAGCAAAGCGAAGAGGATCTTGATTTCTGTGCTGTGGGATGACCTTTAGTTAGTGGAGCTTGGGTTTAAAAAGGCAAAAAACGTGATGAGGCAGAGACAGCCCCACAGGGACAGCATAAACCTCGCACGGTGGGAACCAGACACCCCAAGCAGCTTCCTGAAATCCTGTGGGCTTCTGACTAAGCCTTGGACACATGTGCCGGCTGGGCTGTCCCCGGCCAAGAGGCCAGGCCCGCAGGGGGCCTCAGGGGGCAGCAGCTCCCTATCCAGGCCTGGGTTCCGGGCCAAGCCACGGAATGCGAAAGGTCCCGTGCATGCTTGGAGATGCCT